CGCTGAAGGCGCCCGTCGTTTTTTGCCAGGGGTGATCCGCTGCTGTTGTTCCGGCTGCTGCTGCTGGTTAGTGGGAGCTGCGGCCTGGCTGGCTGAGAAATGCTGTAGCAGCTCCTCTACGTTGCTGAATATTTGAGTTTCAGTTACGACGGAGCATGTTGACTGGCTGCTGACTGCTGGCCAGGGGCGGATCCAGAAAATCTCCAAGGGAGGGGCCATTAGAAACCAGGAGGCCCCCCCATAATCCCACCTGTTGGAGGCCCCATCTTCCCACTTGTTGGCCCCCCCCCCAAAAAAAAACTGCGTCTATTGAGCTTATCTAGCTGTTCAGGCAACATCTCAACATCTGTGCAGGCTTGGAGGCCCTCTGTGCAGGTTAGGAGGCCCTGTAAAAGTGGTCATCTCTGTGAGTATAAGAGACCTCCAAGTTATGAAAAGCTTTTCCAATCTTCTAACAAAGAAGTCTTCTCAGCTAGTCTTCTAAGAAATAACTAAGTGGGTAGGTTAAAAAAAAACTCATCGGATTTCGGCCACTTTATTTTCAGGAGGCCCCCTTTTCAATTAAAGCTTGCAGTCAAAAGTGATTACACATAACATTTTTTCCGCATATACGTCAAATTTTGAGAATTGTTACCTTTGGAGGCTCTACCGTTGACTTAAAATCAAATTTGAGAACATCACCAATGAGAACTTTTAAAGAGCTATCGATGAAAACTTTGATAGAGCTATTCTATGCGCTTTTCTGCGGCATTGTATTCTGAAAGATCTTATAGCGAGCTATCTATTGCCTTTTACCGTGTCTTTCTTGCTCGCTTACTTTCCGAGATAATCTGGTGTGGCCAAATAGCCCCCCCCCCCCCCCACCCCCACCATGGCGAAGCTGGCTGAGAGGCCCACCGGGGCGCGGGCAAGGGCGCGGGTTATCGTTTTGGAGTTTGGAAGGTTTGGAAGACAGTTGCATTTAGTTGAAATGAGTAAATCAAAATATTGAAATGACTGAATCTATGCAATGTGCCTACACTTGATTTTTTCCCTTGCGCAGCGACCGTCCCCAGATTGTGTTGTATTTACCTGTCATCCCACTTGCCGATGCGACACGCCTCCATACTAGCTCCTTCTCAGCGCGGCGCAGATTGTATAATTTGCTCCGCTTGTCCCATAGGGCTGGGACACTTCGAACGCACTCGAGCAGAGTCTCTATGCCTGAGGAGACCGGCCGACATGCCAGATTAACATCCAACTGACACCGTTTTGATTTATAGCCGGGAAGTGTAGCACCAACTTTACCAATTATGATAGCTAACTATAACTAATAGATGTAAAAAAAAAAAATCGAAGGAAGAATATTAATAGACAAAACCTACTCACCTTCATCGAAGACACCTGCTGCCGATGCCACCTCTTCTTCAGCTCCAACTTCTGCATCTTGATCCATTGTCAACAGCGATAGGTGAGATAAAAAATAATGTGCCTATGACACATTTAATTTCTGCGGGTACGCTGATGCCAAACTTAGCAGTATCAACACCAACAGGTATGAATTACTTGTTAACACCGAAGAACAATATTGAGACAGTACGGCCTTGGACTATAGATACTTTTTTATTCTAAAAACTTAAAAAGGAATAACGCGTGCATAAATCTCGCGCAATTTACCACTCGCCAATCCTTTCACGTGGATAATACGTAAACTGAAATGTTGTGTAGTATGTCGTAAATATGCATAAAAAAGTTTATGTAGTAAATAAATTCCTTCCTTTCCATGAATGGTACCTATCAAAATGTGACTCGTCAGAAACATGCATCAGTATTACCACATCGTCACGTGCTGAAGCCGAAAAACTGATTGTCGATCCAAACTTTTGGGTTGGACGAGTGCCTTGGGACGAGTCGCTTCGCTTTTTCGCTTTTTCGATTTTTAGAGTCGCTTTTTCGCTTTTTAGTCGTTTTTTTCGATTTTTCGCGTCGCTTTTTCGAGTTGCTGATTTCGTTTTTTCGGTTTCGCTGCCGTGGAGCTACACCAATGTTATCAAGTGAAGTTGATCGTCTACTGAAGCCGAAAAAGCGAAAAAACGAAACGAAAAACCGAAAAAGTGTGCCGTGGAGCCTGTACTTTATCTTATCTTTATCTTATCTTATCTTATCTTATCTTTTATATTGCTTATCAGTAATACTACAGATGCCAAATGCAAAGACACATACAGCGAAATAGCCGTGGAACTTGTGCCTTTTCTTACTTATGGGGAGTGCGAGCATAGTGAAGTGTAAGTTGGTCAGACCATCCGTCGTCTATCGGTCGGCTTCGAAATTCGTATGTTGGCCGTCCGTCCATCCGTCGGTGGTTTGTAATTGTGGCCCGTCCGTCCGTCCGTGCGTCTGACATCTGTCCGTCTGCATGATTGTCTCGCTGGCTGCAGGCGTGTCATCCGGTCATCCGGCACAGCCAAGTCATTTCCCTTTATTTTCCCTCATATTTTCCCTATTAGCCGCCGCCAGGCGCGCCTGCCGCCACCAGACAATCTATCCCGAGCCCGAGCGCGCCGCCGCTGCCGCGGGGTCGTCCCTGGATAAACAGAATATCGACTCCATCGATCCCCGGCACCTCTGCCCCTTCTCAGGCGTCCTGAATAGACGGATGAAAGCGGAAACGGCAGCGAGAGAATGCAGGAATGACGGATTCACCCATAGGCAGTGGTCTATGGTTCACCACATCGCCTTTGAAAGCTCTCGCTGATCTCACTGGGACTTATTTACTTACCCAGTGTATCTGTCCGTCGCTGCGTGCGCGTAGTGTTTGCATGGTTGACTGTGCGCGTGGGTGGGCGTCTATCGCATGGCTTCCTGTTCGATAATCAGGTCAGGTATCGAGTGACTGCCGGCCCGGACGTGACTTGGCGTAAGGTGACGTGATGGGATGTAACGCAATGGGATGTGAGCGGATGGACTCGGCCCCGACAGTAGGACGCCGTCTCAGCGTTCACCACATAACGTGGACAGGCAGCAGCTATGACTGGTGAAAAATGCCAGCCACAGTGTCTCAGATAACCGGTGTCGCTTCCTCAGTCATTTGCTGCCGGAACACCTTCCGTCCAGGCCACGGGATGTTGTGCCGCACTCCGGGCTGTGTAAGCTCTGGATCCAGGACGGATGGCCGCCTTTGAGCCCAGACTGGGCGCCAGCGATGGAGCAGTGCCCTCCCTGACTGCAGAACACCCCGCCCGCGCGCGGTGGCTCAGAGTGCAGAACACCCCGCCCCCACCTGGCTGACGCCGCAGAGCCGGGCGGCGCCTTCCGTGAGAGCGGCGTTCACGCGGCCTCATCAGAGGGAGAGAGACGGCACCATCATCAGAGGCGGGCCGAACGATAACAAACGATCCCGGCCGCGATACCCACCGTCCCGGTCAGCTCCGGCCGACACGGAGCTGCGGACGCCGGCGGTGATCGGCTCACCTGGGTCCTGTCTGCATGAAACAAAGCTACCTACCTGGAAACGTGCCGAAACGGAAACGGGAAATCACCAAAACTGACATAACCTTCACAGAGCCCCACGCTAGGCAGGCGAACATAGCGCGAAAGCCGTGTGGGATTGCTTCCTTATCATTAGCTCACTAGTCACTTGACAAACACAGCAATGCAGGAACTCCCTGTGACGGATGCGCCCACCTGGCTCAGTGAGTCCAGTCACTAGGACAGATGGGAAACCACCGCTCCGGGAACAGGCCGTCTCTATTCCGGGCCGCGCCGCGTCACGCCCGTCGTGCCGCGCGACTTTTGTCTGCCGCTCTGGGACGGACGGCCGACTGCGGATCTGTGGCAGATCTGTGCGCCGGGTGGGCCCGGAGATCCGCATCTGGTGTGGATCTCAGACAGGCAGAGCTGCGGAGAGCGAGAGTCGGCCGAATGGGCTTGGGTGCTGCTGCACCGTGTGGAGATTGAGAGTCGGTGTACTGGTCCTTTGTGGACCTGGTGCCACGCTGGGTCGGCTCTGTCGCGGGATGGTGCTTGACTGACTGATCATGACAACGTTTGCGGCATATGCCAAAGCGCGGACTTGCTGTAGAGACAGCTGTCTGATGCTCGCCGTTGTGCACGATGTGATTGATAACTTGCATTGATAAGCCAGGTGCACGTGAGGTCCCGGCTAAATCCAGTGACCTGTTAGTACTGGACGGGTCAAACGGCCCTGGCAAGCGACGAGCAGTGCTTGATGATAGTGTGCGTGTGATGGACCAGGCAGGCAAATCGTCTAGAAAATCATAAGCCATTAGTCGCATTGGCTCCTTACTCGGATGGGGTCACGGATAGATGTCGAATCATCGGGCCACAGACCAGTTGCAAAACAGGGATAGTGTCTTCTCTGACTTACGCATCAGGAATCTGGCTGGTAAATGTTCCTTCAGCCGTCAGTGTCTCCAGAAATACCGAAACGAATCGCCTTAAGTCGAGCTCCCTACCTACCATCCCCTTCTACAACTCTGAGCTCGCTCTGCATATTGGTTGTGAGCTAAGAATATCTGTCCGTCTTCGGAATCGGATTGGTGATATATGTGGTCCGGATTGTCTGCTACCGTCGCTACCAATCAAGATGCAGCGTCCATTTGTATAAGTGTTATGGTTAAATAGATTGTTTCTGTGCAGCCGTCCATTTGTATTAGTACATATTTATAGTTGGAATTCGATTATTTCCACATTCTTTTACATACTCCCAAGTCTCAACTCATCATGAGCGGAGCAGATTTTGCCCGACATGTGAGTCATGCAAGTATGCCTATTTATAAGGCGTAAATGGCCAGTGCAATCTGGATTGGCAATGGCCAAAGTGCCTACCAGCGTCGATCGTCATCTGTCTGTCTTGTCTCACCCGAGTTGACGTCTAGATCTTTTTGCTTCGACGTGATCTGACCTGACGCCGAGCTAGTCGTACCTGAGCTGACCTGCTCTGACCTGACCGTAGGTATGTGATGGCGCCGTGACCTAACCGTATGTGACCTGTCGGGCAGGCTGGTGGATGACCGCTGCGTGGTGCAGCCGGACGCCGGCGACCTGCAGTTTCCGCCCAAGAAGTTCCGCGACTGCTTGTTCCGCATCTGCCCGATGAACCGGTACTCTGCGCAGAAACAGTTCTGGAGCGCCGCCAAACAGGCGGCCTCCGGCACGGACACGTTCATGATCAAACGACTGCACGTGAGTACCAGAACATGGAGTGGGTGCGGATGAGTAGGCGTAACTACGCGGTGTTTGTGTGTGTGTGTGTGTGGGGGGGGGGGGTCCAGGGCTACGCAAAGAGAAGGTAAAACGGGAGGAGACATTGCTGATCTCTGGAATCTGGGCTGTCAGAATGGCTAGCACTCTGCTGTTCGCAGCAAATATTCAATTTGTGCCATACCGCATCATGCAATATATTTACCGACTAGCGATTCGGTTGAGTCGTTCCACCACACCATGATCACCATATTTTCGCAGTCATAACCATCTTGTGGTCCGAAATAGGGATGCTCTTGCTCACGAACCTGCCACATTCATCATTTACGGATCATTCACAGCATTCATCAATGCTTAACTATGAAAGCTCAGCACAGGAAACGGTCACGGTCAATGGACTGGTATTTCACTCCGTTCTCATGATTCAACTTGTATTTATGGCGAGGATGACTGCATTTCCCAGTCATTGACTGCATCTCCCACTGTCCGCGTGGTGGCCGTCTTTGGGCCCGGCCCGCCTCCCGCAGTGGCTCAGATTTTGATCTACCGCCCGCCCCGTGTGTTAGGCTCGCTGTATGTAGAGCGAGATCTGACCGTGCTACCGTGCGGGGCGTGCGCGGCTGTGGACGGCACTGGCGCACCCCGGGAGGTCAGGCGGCTATGGACAGTAGCCGTGGGTGGCCGGACCCCGGAGAAAGGAGGGATGCGGTGCGTCGGATGTCTGTGGGGCGGAGTATGGGGCGGATTTCCGTGTCGGATGGGGTGGTGGATCGCCAGGCGGCTCTTCTGCCTCGCTGAATTCCCCACCAGCCGCTGCTGAGTCGTATAGGACTATGTGGGTTTGCGGTTCGGAGCATAGTGCCAAACGGCTCCTTCTGTCGTCTGGCGTCCCCTGCGACTCCGTCTGGCTCCCCCGCGACTCTGTCTGGCGTCCCTTATCGTCCGCTCGCCCGACCCTGCCTCCGCCTGCCTCCGCCCGCCGGGCCAAAAGGAGCGTGACGCCGTTCATCGGTAACCACCGACCGGCGCCGTCTCCGTTACGCCGCCTGCCGCCGTGACGTGACGTCTGGCCGTCACGGGCGGTCCGGGAAGTGACGCGTCACGCGGTAACTCGGGCTCGGTCCGTCTCTGTGACCGTTTCCCGGCCCTCCGTCTGCCGTGCGGCTGCCGTGCCTCTCCCACTGTCTGCCGGTGTTTTTCCTGCCGAGATGCCGCTAAGTGCGTCTCCGCTGCCATGGCAACGGACGTTGTTTCGGCCGGCACACGCGTCGGAAACAAAAACCACGGCCGACTGAACACGGTTTTTGTACACATGCGCACGGGAGCTCAAATTGGCTTCTTTTGTCACCTTTGTGTTCACTCGTGTTCGGGGATGCATCTCATTTTTGGATGTTGATGAGTTTTTGTTTATTGAGGTATTTGCTCTCCATTTCATCATCCCAGTGTAGCTCGTATAATGCAAGGGAAACTGCCCATTAACACTCGTCGGTTTACCCTTCACGAAAAGTGTTGGATTCTGTGTGCCTGGCATCGTGTCAATGCTGTTACCAGTTCACCCTTCTGAGTAACTGCTGCCCCATTGACCCTTATTGTTCGTGGTACCCCATATCGGCCGCCACCGTTCAGCGCTGCACCTCTCGTCACGATCCGCCCAAGTTCAGCTAGCGACGGGAGACGCACACCTATCTAATCCGGCGCACTACCGCCCAGCTATGCCATTGAACGCTATCGGAACCGCTATCTCGCGGATTAGTGAATCCCTCTGCTGGGCGGGCGGGGTCGTGCTGAAGAGGGGAGGGCACGGGGGCTGACTGACAGGTCAGTTTATGGTGCCTGATGCGGCGGAAGGTCACAATGGGTCCACTCCGCTCCCGTGCCCTCTACGTGATACGGGGAAGGTCACAGAGAGGTGAGGTCGGTCGCACACCTACCGAGGGCAACGCTCGATAACTCCGCCGAGGCATTCACCCACTTCCCACCGCTCGGCCGATCTGCCACTTGAGTCACGGCCGGCCCATCTCTCTATAAAACCCTAACGACCCTCCGCGGCCCCGCCTATTATCCCAGCCCTGCCGAGGGCCGCAGTGGGTCTGTTTGTGGGTGGTTGCGTCACCGCGGCCGTTCCCAGGACGGCGCGGTGAGGCGGTGCGTGCTCGCGGGGCGGGGCCGGTCGTACTCGAGCTCACCGGGCCACGACTGTGACCCGGCGGCGCGGCGACCCGCCGAGGGCCGAGACGGAGCGGGACCGATCGGTCCGCTCCGCTCCGCTCCGCTGACGTCACAATGGCCCAGACGCGCGGCACAGCCAGACAGACAGACAGACACACACACAGACAGACAGACGCATAGACACTCTGGCAGACAGTTATACAGACAGACATAGTTACATGCCAATGGACGAATGAACGGACTTCCCCATGTCTCTGCGCTGGTTCTTTGTTTCCTACTTTATTCACAAGCATGTATTTTTATATATTACTGACCGGGCCGACGAAATTATTTGGAAACGAGGTTTGCAAAATTGACGGAGGCCCGAGTGCGGAGCACGAGGGCCGGAGTCAAATTTTGCAAGCCGAGTTTCCAAATAATTTCGTACGGCTTAGGTCAGTAAGATTTTTCCTACATGCCGCATGCCTATTAAAACGTTTTGACAGGTTTTGGTGACTTTTATACAATTGTTTTGTCCATAATTTCCTAACAATGATTGCGCTACTGCTGTGGTTAAAGCTTTGAAGGAAATCCATAGAAGAAAATGCATCAAAATACCTGACTTCAAACGGAATCGTCTCTGAAAATATTAACTCAGAATGGCACAACAACTGGATATCCAAGGAACATAATACATGAATAATTTGCCACGACATAAGAACAAGAAGATGGCATAATATTCCAGCTAGTGATTTAACGTGAATTTTCCAGTGCTCTTACAAGAATCTTTTTTTTATTTATGTAATCGTACTTTGTTGATGCCCTATGGCTAAACTTTCGTGAAATACATTATATTTTCCATATTTTACATGTTTGTTTCGAGGAAAGGACTACAACTGTCAAATAATAACTCAATAACTTAGGCCCAAGGTATCAGTGGACATATCAAACGAAGATAAGACAACAAGCGATAACGAATTTCGATTATAATTTCGGCTTTGTAACCAATACAACATATTTCAAAACCCTTGATAAGCAGAGCAGATATTTTTTACCAAAAAATGTTAGTTTTCTAATTTTACGCGGCAAATATCATGCAATAATGATGTCAATTATACATTCCCTGTCAATTATACCCCTGGGCTAATGCGATAAACTGTAGTTAAGAGGTCATTGCCCTGGGCAGTAAACCCGGGCAGTAAACTTTTGTTTCCTGCCCGGCCTATCAAATAGCATGGCATTTTGACACCGACAGTTTCTTGGTCATAGTTTTACTGCCCGGCTCGTGCTGTGCTTAAGACATATCCCGGCATGTAGGAAATTCCAATTCGTGAGTGCGTTAGCACTCTTCACCGAGAATATACTGTCTACCCGACATTCTGCAGCTCTGTGCGGCCGACATCCCCCGTCGGTCAGAAGGTCGTGACCCGCCGGCGGCATTCTGATCGGCCGAGTGGCCAGCCGGTAATGGAATGGGAGTGAACTCATTGATCATGCCCGCGGAGGTCGTCCGCTGGAATTTGGAACTGTCGTCCTGTCCTGATGTATTGGGCTATTCCTGTAGTCGGAGAGCCGGCCTGCTGGTGAATTTCTCGGGAGGCAGACCGGTTTGGTATATATGTGGCGGCCGTGCCAGTGTGGGACGTTTTGAGAGGACGTGGAGGAGTCTACATATAGACGGGGGACTGAAGCTTGGCGGTGTTTGGGAGGAGACAGGACTGGAGGTTGGAGAAATCTAATTCGCTCTTTTTTAGAATTGCCACCAAATCGAGATTGATAATTCTGTCACTGTTGATAATTCTGTCACTTTTGTGGCATTGGCATTAGATGTGCCTGTATTCTGCAGCATCATCTCCAACTTCTTGTCTTCTCTCGACTTGCAGATGTCTCGCTCCAATTTCTCCAATTTCTCATTTCTCGCGTATTTCCAAGTCATCGTGCAATCCTTTCTAAGAGAGCCTTTTTTCGCCGGTAGCCACCTTTCCACATTTATGCACTTTCTCGCCGCCCATCTGCAATGCGGAATCGTTCCGCCACCCAGCTGCAGCGCAGGAGGAAGGCGCCGCGGCTGGTGCTTTCAGTTCTCATTAGCGCGGCATTCCGACCCGCTTTTGTGGCGTTATGTCGGCCGTTTGTTACCGCAACGTCGGCGTAATCAACCACCGGGCTTTACTGTTTGCTAATTAGTTTCATTAGCCAAATAGAGCAAGCCATGCATATTCATACGTGCTTGGTGGCCCACCCTACTCGGGATTGGTGTAGTGCACCTGTTGAACAGCATGTTTGAGATCACTACACTACACCTGTGCGTGATGGATGCAGGACTTGAAAAGTCTCCCTTGACGGAAACTGGCAAGCTATTTTTTGTTCTGGACTGGCCTGACCTGCCAGTGACGCGGCATCTGTAAGAGCTCACGACGCCTGTTTCACCTGTCCCTACATGGCCCGCCAGACTGCCATCCTGTCGGTGAGCGAGGCAGCAATGTTTGCAGGGCGGCGTGCCCCCGCAGGGAGTTCCCACAGGCCGGCACTGGGTAAGCCATCCTGCACCGTTGCCCCGCGCCGCTCAGTACAGCAGTGTGCTGGTGGCCGACCCGACCGGTGGTGACCCGAGGCAGTTCCCAGGCGTCATAGCAGCACCGACTGGCGTGCTCCAGTGCGCCCTCCGGCCAGGGACGGGTTGAGGACGTATTCCCTGCTTAGAAAGTTCTGCTAATTAGAGGATAGAGCCCGGCTAAACGCAGGAAGGAGACGCTGCTTCGTCGGTCAAAGTACCGCTCGGCGCTCTACCGGATAGGGACGCTGCCCCCACCGCCAGGCGCCATGTGCCGCTA